GGTACTACGATGTAGCAGGTTGATAACGCAGGGAAGATCCTCCGCACTGTAGCCTTGAGCTTGGACTGCTTCCAGCCAAGCCTCAGGGTGAGTGTGATTGGGAAAAAAAGGAAAAGCTGCTGGAATACTAACAATTACCCTAGGGGGTGCTACATTTCCGTCTACCATTGGCATCGCTGGTCTGTTTTTGGCAGATCTCAATCTAGTTGCTGAAGGATCCCGACGAGCAGGTTGAGGGTTTCTTCTACCTCTCACCAGGTCGACCTACTATCATCAGAACCGACATGTGTCGGCTCCGATACCAACCTCACGCCCTGTGCTGTCTTTCGTTCGGAGTGCAAAATGGGGTGGTAAAGGATCCGAAAGATCAACAAAATTGGGGTGTGCCAAGGATTTTTGGAAAATTGAGTGTGGGGACACAGACAGAACTGAAATCCCCCGTGTTGGCCCGATGAAGTAGGTCTGCTTGCTTTCGCGCTTTTTGCGCGCGCACGACGTGAAAAGAGAAAAATTCAAAAAAAAAAAGCAAAATCAATCAAAAAAGTATTATCTGACGCCCCAACGGGCGACGACCCTTCGTTTCGAGCGGAAAGGCGCCGGTACGCTCCGCGTATCCCGTTTGCTTATCAAGTCCCGTCGTTGCTCGGAGGTTAATTATGAGTCCGACGTGGATGATCTCAGTCGTGTGGCCTGTTCTCTGTGTTCGTCCTCGGTTCGCACCCGATATTGAAAAACTTTTGATTGGTAGCGATCAAATCGCTGGCACTCGGTGCAAAGATTTCGCGGCCAATGGGGTGCAACCGCGGGCCAAGGAATGACAATAAGCTCGTTAAAGGGCAGCAACAGGGAGTATGGCGGGAAATGCGTATCGATGATGACAAACCCCGCACTTACGAAACCAAAGCAACGATTTTTCAGGGGAAAGTAGTATTGTTCGCCGATTCGCGCGACAGATTTCCGTACGTCCTACTCACAGACACGTGTCCGATCCTCGTTGTAAGGAAAAGGACGCGTCGGAGGTACGGAAGGCTGGCGCCCTGTCGGTCGGGGCCCGTCAGTCCACATATCAATAATAAAAAAAAAAAAGCAAACCACTCAATCATGCACAAAATGCGAGTTCATTCACAGCGAGCCATTCGCTGTTGTTGCCGGATGACAGAAAGGGACAACCCAAATCTCATTTCTTCTGATAAAAAAGGAAAAGCTAAGTCTCAACCCGGTTTAATAACTGGAGGTGATCACAGAGGTCAGTGATCTCCTCTACGGGGTGCATAACGCAGATGGCATGCACGGGGACGAAAACCGCGATCACAGTCGTTCAAATCGAAACACCTTAGCATTCTCGGGCTAAGCCCTTCCGAAGAAGCAAACACTGACAGTCATCCACTGTGAGAAGTGCGAAAAATGGCAGCTATACTCATCATGCATCCAGCGATCACGCCCGCATTCATCCAATAAGCAAGGAAGGGAGTGGGATATACACACGGATCCACCGTGCACAAGACAAATCGAACGAGGGGCGATCCAGCAGGGGATTACCCAGGAAACTGATGGAAGAATTTCGGGATGACTTGCAATCAACCATGCGTATTCACTCATGCATTCGGTACTCATTCGATAGGCACAGAGAGAAAGAGGAGGAAAGAGAGGAAAGCTCGAGATGAGCACACAATCGTCCAAAGAGGAGGAGAAGTACACAAAGTTCGAAGCTGGAAAAAAACTTTTCAACTTAACTGCCGTAAACTCACTCGTCAACTGAATCAAAGACAGAAAGATGCACCGTTGTTCAACTCCGACATGGCCCCGGGCCAGTAAACAACTCAACTCTGCTCTATCCTCTCACATGCATCGACGGACCCGACCGCCGCATGCAACCTTCCACCACTGGGATTGTCACCCCGCTAACTTAGACTCGACACGGCTCGCCCCGATCCCACTGTCCGTCGTGGCGATCGAGCGCGCAGCCAGCCAGGCTATAGTTGGCTCGACAGGACTTTCTGACTCGCATCATACACACCGCCTAGCCACAACTTCCCAGAAGCTGGCTTGCGAGTTGAGAGAGAGATTTTCGGGGGCGCTTGCGGAATTTATAGTTGAGCGAGGGGAGATAGAGGGAAGAGAAGGCGAAGGAGAAGTCGAAGTATAAGGAGGGGAGGGTCGGGGAGGAATACGCGAGAGAAGCCATGTTGATCCTCGAACCCGAGTATTTTGCCAATCAGATCCTCTCACTTAACGCGTCTGATTGGTGAGCAAGGGCGATCGGTGGATCAACCGTGCTTTGCAAACATGAGTCGAAAGGCGGGAAGGAAGGGGCACGAGGGATAGCGTGAGACAGATCCAAGATTCAGTCGAGCAAGAAAGGAAAAAGGGCGCGCAAAGAGTAGCAGAGGAGAGAGAGAGAGAGAGAGAGAGAGAGAGAGAGAGAGAGAGAGAGAGAGAGAGAGAGAGAGAGAGAGAGAGAGAGAGAGAGAGAGAG